ATCGCTCAAGCAAGGAACAAGAGACTCATAAATCACATCGAATTTTTCTTTATTTTCGTACAACTGTGTGTACGATTCTTTATGCGTCTTCAATTCTTGGATAAGTTGATGACGGACAAGGGCATGACTATCTTCTCCTTTATCGAGTAAAGACGAAAGGGCTCGATAACTGTAATTACCATCCCTCACAACATCGACGATTCTCTTGATATATTTGTGCATAAAAATCGGTATCTCATCGATGAATGGAATCTTTGGTGGAAGCGGCGTCGGAGGTGGTTTGCTAATGCACGCTCCCTTTCACAAAACGTTTTAGAGATTTTGAAGTCGGTGAGTCGGGAAATAATTTGTCAATGTTTTCAAAGCATGAAGGAAATCGTGTAGTCGAGTTGTCATTTGGTGTAGGCTTCATTTTCTTCGGAGCACCTTTTGTTTTTATCGATTGAGAAGGCGGTTTCATGTTGGTGGTTTCGGGATAGGAAATTTTCCTCAATTGTTTTTTGATGTGTAGCTTCATGATGCCATTGGCCTTCAAAAATATCTCCTGTATTGCTTCCCATTCGGTCAAAATTGAGATATTCAATTTCCCATCATTCATGCTTCCAGTTCCATCATCATCAAACCTAAGTCTCTTCCAATGAGAGCAGATCTCGTCCATTCTTATTGGTTCAACAAGTTTCACCTTTTTAGCAAGAGTACAAGCACACGGGAGACCATATATTTTCACAATAGTGCAACCACACTTTGCGCTATCGGAGCCTACGTTATCAGCTCGTTTAGTCTCGTGAAAAAATATAGTTCAAACTAGCCCGAGAAATGTTACTGACCAACTAAGAATATAAAGTGTTGTCTTTGAATCAGTGCTCCAAGACCGTGAAGCTTCGACCAAATGTTGTTTGTATCTCATTATGTTGGTTTTGAATCATGTGGTTCACGAAGTCCCAGTCTCGACACAAATCCCCCTAGCTATTTCCCAACTAATTTTCAAAGTAGTATGGGCTTACTCAACTCTGTTAGTAGTTGTATTTCCAAAGTGTCTAACATTATCAGTCCACGCGCAAACTATTTTATCCTTCACCTAATCAAGAATGGTGCTTTCAACATATTTCAACAAAGCATGATACTTTTCACACACTTTTCAGAAATGAATAACGGAATCGACATATAATTCTTTTGTGGAAGAATTTATTATACGATTCCATATATCCATTATTTTTTCCACAATCACACCTGACTTCACCAATTTTTCACCTTCAGACTCTACGTGTTTCGTCTCTACCGCGAATTTAACCCAACTTCTCACATTCTTTGTTATGTGATACTTACAAAATAATGCATAAGAAGAAGGAAATATCTTTGCAACCGCGTTCATCAATGCGGTATCACGGTCGGTAACAATCGTTTTAGGCGTCTCACCTTGATCCTTCAAAAATGACCGACACACATCTAATGCCTAAGTAAAATTGTCCTCTTTTCACACTATAGAAATGCAAAACCAAATGAATATGTCTTCTCAGTTGAGGTAACACCAACCATCTCAAATAACAGATGTTTATACTTATTAGTCTTGTAGGTTGAATCAAGTATGAGCAACGTCTGAAACATGTTGAACAACTTTATCGAATCAGGATGAGTCCAAAAAACATCTCTAACTATAACTTCATCATCGCACATTCTGTACCAGGACACATAATTGTTATCATCCAACAGTTTTAAGAGTTGTTGCATCTCAGTTCTATCTCCTTAATCGCCTTGTTATTCAGGTACCGAATGTTATAACTTAATTGATATTTGCTAAATTGTTGGGTTGCTTCCATTTCAATGTTGCAAGAATATTTTTCGGTTGAACAAGATTCAAGGTCATGTCACTAATACATTCCTTCTCTTCCGGCTTGAGCCGACATACACTAGGATGAACGGCTAATTTTAAACACAAATCATGGTTATGCAAACCACATGTCACATTAAATCTCCAATTTTTGTTTGCCAACATATAACCACGAACCTTAAACGGACACTCACATTTTCTACTACCTGTGTCATGTCTTTTAAGTTTCCAGATAGGAGTTCGATATCACAATTTTTAAACTTTTGCTTTTTATTAAAGTCGTTGTCAACATTTATCGCCTTCATAACAATCCCTTGAACATTCGGAGATACATCGTTCGGAGACACCAATTGTTTCGAAAAACGTCAGTGTGCACCATATCTATTGAAAATAATTTAAAAAATAACAGAATATTAATTAATCTACTGTTGCAGAAGGGATGGAAAATGAACACAAACACATTTCAAAAATGTATCTCCGAAAAAGTTCAAACTCAAACACGTTTCGGAGATACATCTCCGAACACTACATAAGTTTTTTTAGTAGAAAATGATGATTAATGTGAGCAATCTAGATGGTAAACAACAATATTTACCTGAAATTTAATCTATTTTGCTCCCTGTGATATGTTGAACCAAAAGGATGGAGATTTAGAGTAAAAAAATGGATTGATAATGAAGGGTTTTTAGGGTAAGGGTTTTTGTTGAAAATTGAGTATGCCAACAATGGGAGACTGATCATGCAGTTGCAAGCTATATCAAATACTTCTGAAGATGCATCTCTAAAAATATTTAATTTATAAGGTGACAGAAACCATTTCGAAGATATATATCTGAATAAAAATATATCAAATGTATGAGGCATATCTCAAAATTGCATTTGTTAGATATATAAAAGATACGTCTAAAGATATATCTCAGCAACTGAAAAACACAATTGAAAATCTAAACGGTGCACTAAAAATTTATAGAGTGTAATAAAAAATTCTTTCTATAAATATTCCGAATGAACCAATAAATTTTCTTTCCAAATTACTCATTTAGACACGGCAAACAAAACTTAATTACTCTTTAAATATAAATTAAACTGTATTTAGTCCATTTTGATCCAAATACATTTTAGAGTACATTTCAAATACAACCCTTTCATTGCAAATTTTCATAGATGTCTAAAATCAATACAACACACCAATAAATCTAATACTTTTGACAAAACAAACTAGGTCTCTTTCCGCCACCTCTAAATTAAATTGGGCACCTCTACATTTTTTATGACTTTTGTTAAAATTTAACTAAAAAGAGCAAAAAAAAAAAAAAAAAAAATCAGTACAATTCAAAAAATTTGGTACGTTTTATAATATTTTTGATTTTTTAAAAAATCCAATAATTTATTTTGATAGTTAAAAAAACAACCAAAATTAACATTACTGATAGGGATGTGTATGACAGGTTATTTTCAAAATCGAAATTATAATCATTTTTAAACTAGTTAAATGATTTGAATTCATAACCATGACCATATTTTAATAAAAACTGGTTATAAAATCGGTTATAAATTTGGTTATGGTTATATAATCGATTTTTAACCTATTATTAATTTTATTTTTTTAAAAATTCCAAAAAAAATAATTTTTTATCCAAAAAATTTAATTTAATTTTTTTTAAATTTACTCTGATTTACCTTTTGTTGATTGTTAGTTTACTGATTGTTAGTTTGTTCCACACACACAAATTTTAAATTTTAGATTTATTTTAGTTTAATTTTAAACAATGTGAGACTTTAGTATAGGGGAACAAGCTTGTTGCATTTTTTTTCTTTAATTTATCTTAAACTAATTATAGTATAACTATTACAAAATTTCTTACAATGTGGTAAATTATTCTTTCCAATCAGAAACTTCACTTCTGTTGTGTTATTCACTTCTGTTGTGTTACTCTATTATGCCTCTTTTTCTTTTCTAACTTATCAACCCTGTAGATTAACAAACAAATTTCTAAGATTTCTTTCTATGCTCTAAGTCTGGAACAATATAGTTCTTAGTACACCTGAATTGAATGTTTTATGGAACTTAAATTGGCTGCTGCTTTGCATAGTATTGGTGGAACAATAGAATTGTATTAGTTGAGGAACAAAATATCAGTAAACAAATATCTCATTGCTTTGCTTGCAGAGATATATTGGTAACGATACAAACCAGTTTTGGGGTACATATCAACATTAAAAACACAAAGCAAACCTTTTGCAATAACTTCAATATTAAATAATCATTTTATCTACGTTGAAAGATTGTTATATTAAATATATATTTGCGAAGTGAAAGTTTGTAAAAATTAAAAAAATTTCACAAAATTTATTTTTTTTTTCAAAAAAGAATAATTTTTTTCCTAAAAAATCTAAACTTTTATTCAAAAATTTAAAAAAAAAAAATTATAATTAAATTGAAATATTTAGATTTTGGATAATATTCAGATTATAAACAGGTTTAAAAATAAAATATGATTGAATAACCAACTATTAATAATTAAACTGGTTAATAACCATTTAATTATATTCGAATATTTTAAATGAAATTGAAATTGACTATGATTTGAATTTCACAACCGAATATTTTACACACTCCTAATTACCGGTGTTTCCAAAAAATCAAAAGGTACTTAAGGGTTTCTTCCAAAACTTCATCAAGTGAATGGTCCCTATAAGCTTACAAAATGAACATCTACTAATTCTATGCACTCCCCTCGTGCCTCCCTCATGCACCCTGGCTCGAGATGTTTGGTGACTTTGTGGCATTGGCTCTATGACTAACATGGATCGTGCCTATATTATTTCAACGTAGACATCTCAGTATGTGTTTCTGTGTTTTTGAAATTTCAAATTTCTAGTAGAAAAAAATGATATTTCTCAAAATATCTGAAATAATATTTAGGGTGAGGAAAGTTCCTCCCCATATAGTTTACAACTTTAACTCTATACAGATACGATACAGACACATCCACCCGCCGATGTTAACTAAATGACGCTTATTCGGGTGAGGGGTTCTATCGATATACACACACAAGCCCCCCATAGAAGCTTCTAGATCTAGTTTTTAAAAAAAAAAACTCATACAAATATCTTGTAAACTACTGAATATTTTATGTATATAAAAAAGAAGAAAACCAAAGTCAAAACAATGTTGAGATATATCCAGTGCTCCAAAAACTGGGAAAAGGAAGACCAAAGTTTACTAGCAAATCTACAAGGTAATTGTTATTATACAAGAATAGTTTTATCTTCATCATATATTTTACCTGCTTCCTTTTCCATCATCCGGTGAATTCACCATCATGATATTCTTATAGTCAGGTCCCCTAGCTACTCTGCAAAATCAAAATGTTGCAATACATCCGTATCGTGATTGTTCAAATTGTTCAAATCGCGCTATGGACGGAGGAGGAAAATTAAAACTTGTGGCAGATATAATGAAGTACCTCAAGAAATCTGAAAATGTCAGGCAAAAGTCTCCTTCACACACAAATGACAACAACCAATTGAGGAAAAGAGAGTGAACTAAGTACATAACTATATCAGCCGGCGACCTTTATTGCCCCTAACTCGTCAATTCTTGAGCTCTTATGCTGCAAAATATTAAGTTGAACACAAAAGTTCATTAAAGATAAGACAATGTCAATCGCTATGAAATATATCGGATCACAAGACTACATTTCTTATTATATTACCTTACTCTTTTTGTGTTTGTGCACATCATTAACATCATCATCTCCGTCATGCTTCCTTTTCTGAAATATAATTGAGCAAAGGTAAAAGGTTAATAAGTAGAACTAAATGTCTGCAACATGATCAAACAGTATGTGTTGTCAATTCAGATCACGGAAAATAGCAGTTTGTTCAAATTCCGCTAAGCAGCAGTGTTATGGTGCCACTATAGCTGTGATATTTCACACTATATTGTACTAAATAGTGCATCGCGGAACAATAGCAATTATTTCAGATTCCACGATGCAAAAGCGCTGTAGCGCTGCTATTTAGCACCACTGATATCAAATGAAACCGGTCTCCTCCATTGGATCATAAACAGAGTTCATAAGCGATTGAGGGATAACAACATCAGCATGACACTAATTAAAAATCAATGTTATCGCATGACATGACTTTTAGAACACTCTCTCAATCTGAACGATATAGATGCAGCAAACTAAAATTCTTTAACCTTGTCATGGTGTTTCTTTGAGTGATCAGCACTGGAATCACGATGTCCGCTTTTATCTTTCTTCTTGTCCTTATCCTTGTCTTTGTCTTTGCTTCTGTCCTTGTGACGATGTTTGTGCTTCTTATGCTCTTTGTCCTTATCCCTATCTTTGTGCTTCTTATGCTTCTTCTCTTTGTCTTTCTCGCTTTTCGATTTCCCTGCAATTGTTGGTATTCCTTTCTCCGCCTATTAGGGGAAAAACGAACGAGCAAGATAGAAGTCCATAAAGAACACATCGTTAAAAAAACTAAGATAGCATAACAATTGATTTCAGCAAGAATTAAAAATCAAGTATGAGTAAAATCACCACAAAAATGACTTACAGCAGGCAAATCGACGGGAGCGGTTTCCTTTAGTTGAAAAGCCTCCTTGAGTATGTCCAAGTCAAAAGGCTGTATTCGAGCACTTGTATCTCTCGAGAAAGATGTATTTTGAATAAGTTGATCCAATTGCATCCCATCTCCTTTTCTTACTTCAGTGTCTCCTACTACGTTATGCAAATAGTGTGTATCTGCGATTGACACGGGAAGCGGCCTCTTGCAGAAAAACTCATAGTGAGGTATCAATTTGAAATGGCCTATGAGATCGACAGCGCCTGTCAACTCCCTTGGGCCTGAAGATTCAAAAACACAGTATGTCTTCAATGAGAATGTGTTAATTCACGAGAAATTCAACAGGTGATAATTGACATAATACAATAAGTAGGCAGTAATTTTGTCAATCACGGAACGCGGAAAATTGACGTTTGTTCAAATTAAGCTATACACAATGCTATAGAACCACTAAGACGGTTATTTGAGAACACTTAATACTAAATAGTGATTTGATCAAATTCTGCAATGCTATAGCCGCTATGCTAAAACATCGGTAGACAGCAAACAGAGATTTATAGAATTACATAACAACATAGTGCACTATCATAAAAAAGGCTTACCTCCTCCAAACTTTTTGCCTTCAGGATCCATGAGTCAACCTTTCACAAGTTCTTGAACCATTATCAACTGCAATTTAAGAGGGGAAAATGCAAAATTAAGTGTTTCATCTGAGATCAATAGTAAGTTTTTCAGACAAGCGCAGAGATTATTTCAATAAAAATAAATTATATTAAAGAAAAAAATCAGGAAAGAACAATTAGATAAAAGCATTTAAAAAACACAAACAACAAAACAAAACATTGCAACAATGCTGTCCCTTTTCTAAGCAAACCAGGTGTGCTTTATTACGGCACGCATGATAATGAAGCATGTGATACTGTATCTCAAAAGTTATCAATTCTCACATGAAAATCAATGAAAGCATAACAATCCAACAAAGCATCGTTTTACTTGTGCCGCAGACGACCCCAAAACTTAAACGAACAAAAGAAAAAGTGTTCATATTCCCGCAACCAATATTATACGGCTTAATTAGTGTTATCAAATAGCGGTGCCATGGCCGCTATGGCGGATATACATGACGGTTTTTGGGCTCGCCGCTATGGCGGATATTGCGGGCTTTTCCACCATAATCCGCTATAACGGTGCCGCAAAGCGGCGAGTATGGCGGGATTTTGGCTCTCCGCGACGGACCTCAATCAACAACACTGGGATTAAAGCTTTGTAGGAGGCTAGAAAGATTTTAACAAACCCTAGCATTCCAAGAAAACATCATCCAAGACCAATTGAAAAAAACAAGTGTTCCCAACAAGGCCAAAAGAAAATGTCAATCCAAGACCAAAGCTAAAAATCTGCACGCAGAAAAAGCACCACAGTATTCATTCACTTCATTTTGTTATTCCATATTTCAAGAAATTGAAATCTTCAACAACAAAAAAAAACCACAGATCACGAAAATCATTCTAGAGGACCCCAAATTGCACATGAAATCATCATCCAAATAATACAGTTGATAAGTTAAATTGAAACAACTAGGAATACAAGAAAACCTATGAAGCACAGATACTGCAAACACGACATCGACACTGACACGTCGACCCCGGTAATAATTTGAAAAAATGAATAAATTAAGTGTCAATGTCGGTTTCGGACACCGACAGCGACACAGAAATACTTTTTTCAGAGGTGTCAGTGTTACATAGATGAAAATACATCGGTACAACTAAAACAGAGTTTGTGTAAGCACACACGAACCAAAAACATCAAAATACACATGAACAGCACCATTTTATATGCACAGCATTCACACACACCATGGCTCCTTTAGATGATCTAAATGGTAATCGCTTTTCAGTCTGATTATAAACCACAAATTCATGAATTTCCCTCATACACTCAATAGGGATATAACATGAACTTGATTACGCACAACAGTGAGTTTTAAAGTGCCTAATTCAAACAGATTCAAGTAATTTCCATGGTTTCAACTATCAATTTTTTCTGATCCCATTTCAATTTCCACCTTCAATATTATCAAATATATTCAAATCCAACGTTCAAAAAAATTAACAGCTTTTCAAAAAGTGTCTCAGAACAAAATTCTCAAAGTCAAAAAACACATACCACAAAAAAAAAACCACACAACCTTCCCCGCATTAATAACAATTAAGAAAACATTTAAGCCCTAGAAATTCTCAACTTCAACATAAATCAAAACAGTGAAGAAAACCCACCTGAGAGTGAAAAAATTATCAATCCCAAAGAAACCTAACAAATCACCTTCAAATTGGCACGAACCGAAAGCCACACCAATTGAAAAACTTCACCACCCCAACAAAAATCTCTGCGAAACTGCATAAAATTGAAATCTTTTCAGCCAAAAAATCCAAAATCCACATAAGGGTACTCGATATTATAAGCAAAAAGCAACTTTTTGTTGTGTAATTCTCAAACAAGAGAATTGGGAATTGACCCACGATAGTGCAAAAGAATGAAACCTGCAAGATTGCAGATCCAAACGATGAAGAAGAGAAATAAATCAAAGGATTCTCACATGTAAAGGGAAAGATCGTTGTGGGTTGTGGGTTTTTCAGCTCTTGAAATCTTGTGTTTTTTCGTTCGCTGCTACTTGTGATTGTGTTTGTTGGTTCTTTCTCTGTTTTTTTTTTCTCTCTCTCTCTCAGACTTAAAAATGAGAAAGAGCAAAAACCCAAAATTCCATTAAGTTTCCAAGTTTTTGCCACCTCTTATTTATATTTAGCTCTAGTTTTCTAGGAATTTTCTGTTTTACCCTTTGGATAATAATACTATTGCTATTGGATCAAATTTTATCCCCATGGCCAAAGGTGGACTATTTCAAGACAAAAGTGCAATGTACAAGATTTTTTTTTAAAGAGAAAGGATAAGGGCATTCTTCAAATTGTTAATGAAGTCAAGGACAACAAATATTATAAGCATGTTTAGAACTATTGTAATTTTGTAGAAGGTTCACTTTGTTGCTTGTAATGTTACTACATGATTTGTTGTAAATTTCACAAGCTCAAATAAATATATGACATGTATTGCCAAAATATAGCTATCTCAAATAGATTTATAGAAGTTATGTTAGTAGATAAATTTCATTAAATTCATTCAATCATATTCGACCTTAGTAACTCTTTTAAAGTGATGAGAGAAAAATCATCTAAATTGAGCAACTTTTTTTAGAATGTAAATTGTAAGTGCAGATATTGCATATATTATTTTCTTGTTTTGAAATCAATCTTATGAATACACACAATCATAATAGAAAGATGATATGTAGAAGATGATGTAACATATGCAAATTCGAATTACTAGTCAAATGAGGTTACATCACTTATATTAACTTATTGGTTAAGCAATAGACTTAACCAACTTGACTAACTAACTAGGTTGTTAAGCCATTAATAACTTAGGAACAAATATGATTAGTGATTAATAAACTAAAATAAATCAATTACTACCCGATTAAAAGATTTAATGTAGACATTACACACGATCCATTGTTACTTTAAATTTAGTAAAATAGCATTAGTTAACTATATTCTTTTATACTCTATTTATTTTATTATAGAAGTCAAATTTATTGTTAAGAGTATTGGTGGGGACCATGTTGAAAATGTCCCTGATCAAACAATATAGAATTGTCATTGATTGGAGACTTGTTTAAGACCATTAGTAGATTTATCTAACATACATACCTTAGTTTATTGTCCATGAATTACAAAATCTTCGAGTTATTTCATATAGATTTTTCCCAAATCACCATTTAGAATGGTAGCTTTAACATTTATTTGGTGTACTTCTACATCATAAATAGCACAAAGAAAAATTAGCATCATTGTGCTAGTTATCCATGTCATCAAAGAAAATATATCGAAGAAATTTATATTTGCTCTTTGTCTAAAATTCTTGACTACAATTTGAGTCATGTATTTATCAATAGCTACACCAAGTTTTTGTTTTTTTTTTTCAAAATTCATTTACAATCAATCAGTTTGTAGCCAGTAGACAAGTTTGTTAAATGACATATTCCGTTAGACTCTAGGGAATCAGTCTCATCATTTATGGCCTATTGCCATAAATTATCATTTAAGGAAGACTAAAAGTTTTGAAGGCTAGTATGATCATCTTCTAATGTATAAAATATATAATCAAATTCATACTCTTTATTAACTCTTGTTCTCTTACCTCTTTGAGATTTTATTGCATCTTGTTTAATGTTCTCATCACCGATTATGATCAATATAATATGATTAGTTTAGCGTCCCCACTATTTTACAATTTAAATGGGAGTTTATTTTCATATAAATTTGCATTGTTTTGGTGTATTATCACTTTAGCATTTAGGTTATAAAGTTTATATGCTTTTATGTTAAATGGATGCATATCCATAGGTTTTACTTGCAAGTTTTATTTTATTTGGGTTTAGGATTCAAACGTACACAAGACAACCCCAAACTCTAAAATAAAATAAGTTATGTTGTCTTTTTTTCAAATTTTCATAAGAAGGAAATTGTGTTCTTAGACTTAGACACTTTATTTAGAACAAAATAAATAATTAATAAAAACTCTTCCACCGAACAATTTGCAACCCTTTTATGTGCATAAAGTTGTCTTTACAAATGTGATATATTTGAAGAAAAATAATAAGAGACTGTGCGTTAAATTGGTGAATAAATACAAGAGGCCCAAAATAATCTTAAATTAAATTGTATATAGATGATTTTGAGTAAATTTTTCGAGATAATTGCATAATAAAATCAACATTGTTTGATACAATATTGTACTCATATAATCAAATCTAAATCAAATGAATAAGATCAATTATAAATTGATTTTGATATTAATCATTAAATTTATTATTTTTCATATCATGCTCACAAAATCAACATTCTACAAAACGTGATGCTACTGTCATAACTTATTTTTGTAAAAAATTATGCATCGGTTTACCTTAAATGGAGCCCGTCGTAGTTTGTTGACATTGTCGAGATTTTGATGTTATTGTGATCGCATCAATTAATATTGGGAATCTCGTTGCCATTGAACAATGAAATAAACTAATAATCTTGTTGACCAAACTTTGAAGATACATGTCGTCGAGACATGCAGATATATAGGATAGATTTTTCTCTTGCGAATACATTTTCATCAAAAACTTCTTCAAACAAATATATGATATTTGTGATGTTTGCCTCCATGAGGCGGATGAACAATAGAGCTTTGAATTGAAATATTTGCTTTTGGTGTCTTTGGTAAAGTTAGGGCAAGAAAGTGAAAACTATTTTAAATAATAGTTGTGTCTTGTCATATATGGATAGCAAAACGGGCCAACCCGCCTCACCCCGCTATATCATTAACTCATCCAAAAAGGGGTGTGGTGGACCTATTAGAGGTGCTGAAAACTCAACCACGACACCTTTTTGCGGTGAGGCTGTGAAATATAATTTACAAACATAATATAAAAAAAATGTGAAATAAAAACAAGGTCAATTTAAGGAAGCCATGATATTTAACTAATGGGTGAATTGAAAACTATCATTCAAACATTCATATTCCATAATCTA